TCTCTATCTGCCTCTCTCTCCTCTCTCTCTCTCTACTAACCTCTTCTCTCATCCTCTCGCTCATCTTCTACTCTCTCTGTCTCGTCATCTCGATGCAATCTACATGCACGAGGGGGAATATGAAAGGTGGGTGATGGTATGGAATATTGTAAGAGGGGGATGGGGCGATCATGGACAGGGGACGTGGCGGGGGGCGGGAGTTGTGGAAGGGTGAGGAAAGAGTGAGGGAAGGGAAAGGGAGTAGTAGGAAAGAGTGCACGACAAGACAGGTTGAAAGTACGTGGGGGTGCGAAAGTAAGATCGTCTCATCTTCTCTATACTGCTCTGGTCGGTGCACGACGCACGTACTCCTCCTTCCTTGCGTCTAAATTTTTTGTTGAGAGTCGGAGAGAATATGTTCCGTTAGTTGGGTTATTTCTCCCGAGCCATAAAAGGGTACCATATCTCTTACGTTGGCCGAGGGGTGATGCATGGTTGAGGGATCTCGGATAGAGAGAATAGAGAATGGTAATGGGCAAGCTAGCCGTCTTTGGCTGCTGATTGTTAATTGTTTAAAAACACTTTTCATTTTCCGCTTGTCATAGTTGGCCCGTGCGGGTCGATCGTTCGGTCTATTCTTGGTGAATGGGTGTAAAGAGGAGGTATAGAGGAGGGAGGTGGTAAAAAAAAGGTAATGACATGGAAGAGTGGGACTGCGAGGGGAGTGAAAGAGAGAATGAGTAGGGGGTCCGAGGAGGTAGAGGGTATTGGGTGAAGAGAAGAGAGGGTAGATGAGCTGTTGTACGTTCCCGCTGCCGGTTTATCCTTGTTTGCCTGAGAATGGTGTTGATCTTGTGCGCTTTTTTTTATTGGGCGGTTTGTTCCTCCTGTCTTTTTCGATTGAGCGAGTGTATTATGGTACCCACCCCAGCCCGAACGACGCGTCAATTATTCTGCGGGGCGAAAGTCATCGGCTTCTTCACTGTGCTAGCGTCTGTTATGGTCATGGGCGCCTCCGCTGTCTTATTGTGCGTGGGTCGGGGAGGGGGTCTGTTCGTGGGATTGTGTTCTGTATTGTTAAGACGGTACTGCGAATCTTTCCGTTGCAAAGGAAACTGAAAAAACTGTGTTCCATTCGATTGATGGGAGAGGGGCATCCCACTTCAACAACAATGGAGAAGGGAGTATTGTCAAAAGTAGGCAGGACAGGACAGACTGTAGAGGAAGAGAGTGAGCATGAGGGTTGCAGCTTGGACATAGGATAGAGAGGTGTGAAGAGAGAGCGAGCGAGAGAGAAACTGAAAGAATGAGGGAGACCGAATGAGGGAGGGAGGGAGAGAGAGGGGAGCAAGAGAGACAGAGTATACAGTAAATAAAGAGATGTCATGACTCATCTTCGTCAGTTGCTGAGTACTGCCCTGATTACATTGTATTGCTTGCCAGTTATCATTGATATTGTGTGCTTAAAACCATTTTTCAAAAGGCAGCTTAGCCTTAATTTGATTTGATTTTTGCATTGTTGGATTTTTGATGGTTCTTTTAGTGGTAAATTAAGGCCATGATGCAATCCGTTTTTGAAGGGCATACAGTAGCCTAGGCCTATGTTCAAAAGAAAAACAACACATTTATTGAAATAAATTAATATAGTAAAAAAAAAAAAAATAGGCCTACATAACATCGAATGTGCTATGGTAAAACTAAAGTAAACTAAACAAAATACTATTTCAGTCTATAATTCTATAATGTATTAATCTTTATTCTGAAGTTGGCTACCACAAGGACTTGTTTTAGGTGATTGTCTGAACATGCAACTATACACAAATGATACAGTGCCTTCAGAAAGTATTTACATTTACATCATTTAGCAGACGCTCTTATCCAGAGCGACTTACAAATTGGTGTATCCACACCCCTTGACTTTTTCCACATTTAGTTGTGTTACAGCCTGAATTTAAAATGGATTAAATTGAGAATGTTTGTCACTGGCCTACACACAATACCCCATATTGTCAAAGTGGAATTCTATTTTTCGAAATTTTTACACATTTATACAAAATGAAAAGCTGGAATATCTTCAGTCAATAAGTATTCAACCCCTTTGTTATGGCAAGCCTAAATAAGTTCAGGAGTACTAATTTGTTTAACAAGTCACATAATAAGTTGCATTGACTCACTCTGTGTGCAATAATAGTGTTTAACATGATTTTTTATCTCTGTACCCCACACATACAATTGTCTGTAAGGTCCCTCAGTCGAGCAGTGAATTTCAAACACAGATTCATCCACAAAGACCAGGGAGGTTTTCCAATGCCTTGCAAAGAAGGGCACCTATTGGTAGATGGGTATAAAAAATATATATAAGCAGACATTGATGAGCCCTTTGAGCAAGTTATGAATTACACTTTGGATGGTGTATCAATACACCTAGTCACTACAAAGATACAGGCGTCCTTCCTAACTCATTTTCCGAAGAGGAAGGAAACCACTCAGGGATTTCACCATGAGGTCAATGGTGACTTTAAAACAGTTACAGAGTTTAATGGCTGTGATAGGAGAAACCTGAGGATGGATCAACAACATTGTAGTTACTCCACAATACTAACCAAATTGACATAGTGAAAAGAAGAAAGCCTGTATAGAAAAAAATATTCCTAAACATGCATCGTGTTTGCAACAAGGCACTAAAGTAATAATGCAAAAAATATATAAAAGCAATTCACTTTTTGTCCTGAATACAAAGTGTTATGTTTGGGGCAAATCCAGTACAACACATTACTGAGTACCAGTCTCCATATTTTCAAGCATGGTGGTGGCTGCATCATGTTATGGAAACGCTTGTAATCGTTAAGGACTAGGGAGTATTTCAGGATAAAAAAGAAACGGAATGGAGCTAAGCACAGGCAAAATCCTAGAGGAAAACCTGGTTCAGTCTTCTTTCCACCAGACACTGGCAGATTAATTCCCCTTTCAGCAGGACAATAACCTAAAACACAAGGCTAAATTTACACTGGAGTTACTTACCAAGAAGACAGTGAATGTTCCTGAGTGGCCGAGTTACAGTTTTGACTTAATTATACTTGAAAATCAATGGCAAGACCTGGAAAGGGTTGTCTAGCAATGATCAACAACCAATTTGACAGAGCATGAAGAATTTTGAAAATAATAATGGCCAAATGTTGCACAATCCAGGTGTGGAAACCTCTTAGAGACTTACCCGGGAAAGACTCACAGCTGTAATTGCTGCCAAATATGCTTCTACAAATGATTGACTCGGGTGTGAATACAAAAAATTGCAAACATTTCTAAAAACATGTTTTCACTTTATCATTATGGGGTATTGTGTGTAGATGTGTGAGAGAAAAATAATATTTAATCAATTTTGAATTCAGGCGTAACACAACAAAATGTGGAATAAGTCAAGAGGTATGAATACTTACTGAAGGCACTGTATGTGGCATATAGCCGATTAGCCTATTCGTCAGCTCGCATTCAAGGGTTAATAGCGCGGAAACTCACTGATGAAGTTGAATATAAAACTGTAGGGCTACGGGAAAATCAAGTCAGTAACGAATTCATCCCTAGTCTAACAATAAAACTAATCAAATTCGAGACAAAACGGGATCGAGTCCCTTTTGAAACCAAAATACACTTTTTCCAGAGATAGCCTTATGTATAGGTCTGCTCTCCAACATCGTGGGGTGTGGTCTGGTATCTCATATTGGCTGTATGCGCGGCGGAGAGGCCATCCATCAAGTCCCGCGGCCTGTGCTGTGATGGTGTGGTGGGTCCAGGTGGGCGGTGGCACCGCCGAACCATGGCCTCGTTACCGCGGTATAATAATGAGGCCGCAAAGAGGGGAGAAATAATTGCAAATAAAACTACATGATGCAGAAAATAAAAAAATTAATTAAACAGATGTGCGTGTGTTCAGGATCATTGCTTTCGTCCTCTTACATTTCCAGTAAATTGCTGAGTTGCAGAAAATATGTAACATTTAAGAGTTTTGCAATAGAACCATATAGGCCCTAATACTACTACTACTAATAATAATACGTCCGACATCCATGGCAACAAACTAGGCCTACTGTCTTTGTGGAGAATTTAACAGCACAAACAGGACACAGTAAAGTAGTGTGACTGTGAGTTAGTAAGATCTGGTGGGATAATGTGTTGATCAATTTAAATTAGCAGAACACCTATTTTGACTGTAGGCTAAACAGGCTACACCTATTTTACACCTAAAGATTTTCACTGATACAAGACCCATGTGTGACATAAGCCTACATAATATTGCAGTTTTGTGATTGTTACAAAATAGGAGTTTTGCCTTTGTGCAGCATCAAACAACATTATGATGATAATCTCATTGTGATGTCCATTCCTTATTGTGATGAATACAGTGGTGTGTTTTGTGTAGGCCTATGTTTTTGTTTGTGCATGACAACATGCCACAATACAATACATGCCACATACATCACTCAAACTAGAAAGAGTTTAATAGAAACTGGTTTCTTCTTTTTTTGTCTGTTGATTCTAAGTACATTAATGTTACTTTATTCTAATCTAAAAGGATTATGAATTACTCGATTTGCAAAGATGTGGAAAAAATAGGCAAGGCAGAATCACTTTGTCATGCTTTATTTTATTAAAAATAATTCTTTAGAAATTCCGTATTTACATCTTCAATAATATTAATAACAGTATACGAAAAAATGTGTTTAGTCACAATTCTTACGAAACATCAGCATGACAACAAACTCGAAATATCATTGAAGAAAAAACCCAAAATCTTTCATGAGTCATTAATCCCCACAATATTCACCCCCAAATGCATTTTTTTCTTAAGAGCAGTTTGCAATTTACTATATATACATATTGCCAAACAAGAGTAGCCTAACCCAGATAGTTCAATTAATGTAATGCATTTTCTTTGACAAAGACATGAGAACATTTTGCTCTGATAATGATACCATGTGTGACTGCATTCCTCATTCAGACTATTGGCACTATGTTACATTTAAGATGTGGAAGGTTTTGCTGGGTGGTGAGCTCAAATAGGCTGACTTTTGAATTCAACACAGATAATCCAGAAAAACAGACCCTAGAATGCGAAAGGGACGTGTGTATTGTATAAAACTGTTGTAAACTTGATGCAAATTCAAGCCTAGCTTCACAAAAAAGCAGTTACTGCACTGTGACACCACAATACTTTCTGTGATGTCACCATGAAGTCAAAAATGCATGTCAGAGTTGCAAAATGTGCTAAAAATAAAATCTTTGGTGAAACAGCTTAAGAGCAATGTATACAGGATGCAGGATTCAGGGCTTTGCCACTGAAAAACTCATAGAAATCAGTTGCCCAAATGTATTCCAGTGTTTAGAATGTCATGTGTAAACATGTAAAGTCACCCTGGATGAAGCTGTCATTAAAAACAAATAAATAATTCATTAGTTAGCCATGAGAAGGTATTGTCCATGAGTTCATGCTCAAGCATTGCTGGTCCAGTGTTGCCATTAAAAGTCTCCAAAGTCCCTCCAATATGTTTACTTCCCTGTCCATTATTGGGAGACAGTCCAATTCTCATCATAGCTTCCTGTCCCTTGCTGCATTTGCCTATTGGTCCCCATTATCAGTCATCTTGATGAGGGTTGGTCCGTGGGAGCTAGAGATGGTCGTAGGCAGTAGTGGATGGTGGAGCGGTGCGGGAGGCCGTGCCATAGTAATAGGGTGAACCTGCAGGGGGCGACAGAGATAAAGGAGTTTACTATTGGGGTTTGTTTTTTAGCTTGGCTTTGATGGTGTTAGGAGGGACAATGCAATGTAAAGCAGGCTTTCTTTATCCTATCCACCACATGACAATAGCAGATGGTTCAGATGGAAATCGGCCTTGCTTGGATAGTTTGTCCCATGAATAAAGCTGCCTGTTTTGCAATCTCTCTTTTAAGGATGGGTCTGCTACTTGATGGAAGAAATATCACAGAATGTTTTGCGTTATGCATAGAATTAAGCATTCAGAACACACAAGCATTAATACTGTCTATTTTCCCCTGTGTCGTTAATCAAGGTGACACACTGACTTGTGACCATGGTCACAACAGAACACGAGTTCTCAGGCTGGTCAGCTCCAAGAGAGTTACTGTACACCAATGGGCGGCAGTGGTTTGGAGCCGACCCCCTGGTAATTGGGTGACTAGTTTCCATGGGGACTAGGGGAGATCATGATACATGTGACGTGACTGAAACCAAAAGTTTGGCTGTACATGATTTCCTGGTTGGAGTGAGGATTTGTATTTGCGAATTTCCTATTGATACTCTGGGTTCATTCATTGTATCTTAGGTTCAAAGCAATTTAATAAGGTTTAAAGTATAAACTTGACATGACATGAATGGTTTGTATTCAACATGTCAAAGTGAAGCTTTAAACAAACATTTTAATGGAAGCTGGGACTTTTATCTACAACAATTCAGTCTGATCCGTGAGGTGTATTCTGAACACTTTCCTTTTGTATTTGTTCACGTTTGCTGCAATCATAACATCAGCTTTATAAACAGTACGGTCCTGTGTGGAATGCTTCTAATACTTATGAAAGGTGTGTCCATTGAACACCACTGTGCCTGTCTGACTGACTGACTGACTCACCCAGAATGCTGGAGTTGGTGAATCTCCAAGCTTCACTGTAGGAGGTGTAGGGGGAGTGAGTGTAGGTCTGGCCAGAGTAGTCTGCACCTGTAGTACATGGAACAAAAAACAGCAAATACATCAGATGTACATTGAGACACATATACAGTAACCAACATCATTCAGTAAGAAATTCACACACATACTTGTAGCCTATAGACAGAATGACATTACAGTCTAGACAATATCAAGCATTATTTCTTATAAAGACACCGACTTCCTCAAAGTGTTATTTTGCCTTCATTTGAGGGTGTTTGTCCTCTTGCCAGCATCTGCTGAGACTTAGCTCATAATTCACCAACGGTTAGGGCAGCTTGTAAACCATTAATCTATGAGCCAGGTGAATGGCTGGGGGTAAAATCCCTTGACTCATTGATGCGTGTGGCTAGCCTCCACATCCTCTCTATAGCGTTTAACCCTCCCATCCCTGTCCCTCCAAAATGCCCTCCTCTCCTCTCTATCCCTCACTTCCTGCTTTAGCCTTTCAACCTTTCTCTCTGTCCTCTTTTCTTATTCTTCTTTTTTTTTACATTCCAATATCTAATTGGTAATTATGTTGGCTGGATTGAATCCCTCCGCTCCCCCCCAAACCCCCCCTTTCTGTGAGTAATTGTGTATGAACGCTTCCTCACAGCGAGCCCACCAGAAAAATAATAAATCAGACGCTCTCATTTCGCGCTTCGAAGGGCAGACTTCAAATAAAAAAGGCACATCACACACACACACACACACTCACACACACACACACACACACACACACACACACACACACACACACACGCCACAAAGTGCTGTCTCTCTCTCTCTGCCTCTCACCCAGGCCCACTCTGCCACCCTGTGGCCCCCCACCCTCTCCCCGTCTGGTGGGGCCCCTGGTTCCCATGGCGATGTGTGGTCAGAGGGGCGGCGTGGGGGTGCGGGCAGCAGGGCGGAACCCTCAGCCTGTTCCCTGTACCCCCTGGGCCCTGGCTGCACCGCCGTGCAGTTCACCAGCCGAGCAGGCTACTCATTAACCACCATGCCTTCCTGTTAATCTCCAATCCTCCCTCCCAGCACTTGTCTCTCCCTCTCTTACTCCCATCCTTACTTTTTTAACGTTGGTTTTGCCTTGCCCCAAAACAATGTTTTGTTTTTTGTCCACATTCTTCTCAGTGGTGCTTTGTCCTCATAGCATATTCAGTTCCAGCTTTCCCCAAAGGGAAAACCCAGATGGGATCATGTTTGGGTCACAAATAAAACTATGAACTGCATTTAAAGGCCCAGTGCAGTCAAAAACATGATTTTCCTGTGTTTTATATATATTTCCACGCTATTGGTTGGAATAATACTGTGAAATTGTGAAAATCGTAATAATGCCATTTTAGTGTAAGAGCTGTTTAAAAAGACTGCCTGAAATATCAGCCTGTTTTGGTGGGAGGGAGTTTTGACCTTCCATGGTGGCATCACCATGCAGTAAATTAGTTAACACACCCATAAGAAAGAAAGTTCCAAACCTCTCTGCCAATAACAGCTAATTTTCAGTTTTCCCCTCTCCACTCAAACCACTCCCAGACAGTCCTAGCTAAATTCTTGCTTAAGAAATTGCTATTTGCTAAGAAGCTATTTTTGTTTCTTTTTGACCATTTTAATTGAAAACAATCACAGTATGGTACTTAATTGTTAACCAAAAATTATTTGATATTGAGATGAAAATGGCTGCTTTGGACCTTTAAGTATGCTGAACTGAAAGGAGAGACATCATTCATCTCTTTCTCTGAAACCCCATCTTAGGATGCCATAGCCTGTCTCAGTGTGAGTGTCAATGGATGGGAGTCTTACCTGCTACCATGCCAGTGATGGCGGAGGATGAGTAGCCTGTCTGGCCACTGGAGGGGATGTGAGGAGGGTAGCCGGGGAGAGTGGAGCTCACCATGTCCCTTCCTGAAACAGAGAAGGACAAAACACACAATGTCAGCCCTTCTCAGGAGGTGGATATACACATAAAAAACAAATCAATTCTTTGGCAAAAATTTAATCTGTGTCATGTACATGAAATCATATCAGTTACCATTCCACCATATTGTACCATTATATACAGCAATTGATGTTCCTGTACAGTACTGCACATGGGGTTTGGTGTGTTGTGGCAGGTGACATGATAAGAGAGTGTAGGCTACTGTCCGCATGAACCCCCTACAGGGAGTGGCAATGGGATGAGATGAATGCTTCATTACCTGCCATGAGAGACTGGCTGCTGAACTGGCTGTACACTGGTGCATGATGGGAGAATGAGTTGAAGGCATGAGGGAAATGGTTGGAGCTGCTGCAGCTGCTACTGATAGACACAGGGGCTTGCAGTGACTGCAGCTCCAGAAAAGCTGAGTTGGCCACCACATTTGGAGACGGGCTTGTGCTGGTCACCTCTGGGGACATTTCCTGTTTCAGACAAAGTGGGAGGGGCTGCAGGGGGTCTGAGGTGACACGGCCAGTGGGTGGGTGGATGGGTGAGAAAATGAAATAAAATGGAATTAACTGATATGAATGAATGGATTAACAAATACACAGCAGCAATAGCCTGTAAGCTGATTGCTGAAATGAATATGAGTGAATGGGTACTACATCGTGTTTGATGTGTTTGTGAACTGCGCTGCGGATAGACATACAGCACATCTTGTACATCTGTTTAAAATTAAACTTGAAAGGGTGCTTTGGGCAGCTCGTGATAATAAGACAAATTAATTGCACAACGCATCAGCAGGCACGGCAAGCTAAAATGTGGCTGCACCTCAGAGATAAACATAAATTGCTATGATAGCTCAGTCGGAAACCAAGATCTATAATCAGATTGATGACAACCGCAGTTGATACAGTTTAGAGTATACATGCCTAAACAGACTGCTATTACATTCACAGATTATGAATGCATTATTACATTCAACATAACTGTCTTTCTGAACTGGGTCTTCAAATATGCTGATGGAAAACAATGTTTCCATGTGTCAGCGTGTTCAGTTTTCCCTCTGCTTCATCTTTGAGCTCGGATATTTGTGCAGAGTGAGAGGGCAGCATCCATCGTAAGAGTCTTACCTGTCACTACAGTGTAGCCCTGGTGCGCTGCCAGATTCCGACCAATAGCAGCACTCGATGTTGAGAGGCTGGTCTTCCCGTCTTCTAGACTGCCATTGATGAGCGAGAGAGGGTATACAGTCTGTGGAGGACAGAGCGGATGAACCATTTGTGTGTTGCGTGTGTGAAAGAGAGAGAGGGAGAGAAAAATAAATTGACAAAGAGAAAGAAAGACAAAGAGAGGGATAGAGAGAGTAATTCTGGGAGTGGAGTTAATCAGGATCCACCGGCTCTCAGTGCCAATGTGCCATGTAGGCTACTGTACCTGCTCGGTCTTGCTGGCTGCAGCAGAGCTGAAGGAGTCTGGGGGGTAGTGATGGCGGTCGAAGCCACAGTCCAGGTGCTGCGGGGGGAAGTGCTCTGGTCTCAGCTGCTTTCTAGGAACGCCCCCACTGCCCTGAGAGTCCACACTGTGTCTACAGCTCTCCTGGTCACCTGAGAGAGAGAGGAGAGAGGAGAGAGGAGAGAGGAGAGAGAGAGAGATGAGAGGAGAGAGAGAGAAACGAGAGAGAGAGAGCGATATAGAGATCTATAGTCCTCTGAGAGACGCCGCTCTCTATAGAGCGAGCGCTGCTAGATATCGCTCGATGTATAGACGCGACGTTCGCTGCTGCCTTCTTCTCTCATCTCGCTGCTCTCCTCCGTCTCTCTGCTGAATCTATTTGAGTTTGTGGGGAGGACTCATTCAATTGTGAGAGTGAATCTTATTTAATCTAATTTAATAAAATTATCTTAAAATGTGAGAGGACATTTTGGGATTGCATGAGAATTTGAGGGTACTTACTGTCGTCATGGCTCCTCTTGCCCTCCTGGCTGGACTGTGGGATCCCCAGCAGGCCACTGATGGAGTAGGTGGAGCCCAGGGAGTCGGACTGGGGTGACTCAGGGGGAGTGACGGCTGAACTGGGGACTGACAGACAGACAGACAGACAGACAAGGGAATCGGACCGTTATTACTCCAATATTATCGTTGACCATTAGCGCTTAATCTTACGGACCATTAAGCATGGAGTTTCTTTAGGCTTAATACTGCATGATCAGATCATAATGCTGGACCTTAGTGAAGGCGTGTGTCTGTGCTTAGAGTGGGGGGAGTGTTAGCGCTTTGTTAATCACAAGCGTGGATGTGAGTGTGTGTGTGTGTCTGTGTAGAGACTCACTGAGTATGTGTCCTGGGCTTAGGCCTTTGCCATCCAGAGGCAGATTGAACGGCTGCTGCACCTTGGTTCGGATTATTCTGGAATAAAGAGCCGGGATTAGAGAACAGTGTAAAATCTATTGAACCACTTCAGTGGGTGAACAGTGAAAAATCACAGAATTTACAACTCTTTTTCTTCTGCCTTGTCAATTTCTACACACTTGTCTTACATTACTAAAGAGATCACAATTGTTCTTTTAAAGGTCCACTCTGTGACATGTATTGGTTTACACATAGCATCATGTGGAGGTTAGTTGTTACCTGTTGATAGAGCTGACACTGGGCACGGTGTCACTGTCACACACCCCCTCTGCCAGCAGCCTGTCTCTGATCTCCCAGGCAAACATGGTGGGGTTCTGACGCTTGTAATCTGCTATTTTATCAACCACTTTAGGAGTGGCCACCTTGGGCTTGGAGCCCCCAATCACTCCTGGCTTGATGCTGCCAGTCTCGTAGTAGCTGGAAAAGGACAGCAAGGTTTGTTACATTAGAAAGCAATATAGTGAATGTGGGTGGTCATCATTTTGATTGAACAAAAAGAGGTGTTTACGGTACCAATGCCATACTGTATAGTGAACCCAGAATGTTTTAATAATGGGAGACCATGGTTCGTGGTCTAAGTGTTTTGAGAACACAATGGAGGGCCATTAACAGTCTAACCCCATTGTGTAAAGTTGTAAAAGTTTGATGAGGTGCTCACCGTCCCAGGATCTTGCTGACACAGCCGTGGCTGACTCGGAGCTGGCGGGAGATGTCACAGGGACGCACGCCCTGGTGGGCCATGTCCACGATGCGCTGCCGGATCACCTCCGGAAGCGGACGGCCGTTCACAAACATTCCGCCTAGTTGATTAAGACCCCCATGACCTGGGGGAGGAGGGGGGATGAAACATACATAAATGTCATGGAACCTGAGCTCACTACCACCCACGCTACCACCCACACACAGCACTACCTCATACAGAAGAGACACACACACAGGGAGGGCAGACTGAAACGGAGTCTGAGCTGGTTTTACTTGTCTTCAGGCTATTTGGTCTGAAACAGGGCTTACTTGGCACCTAATGTTCTTACATAGATATGACTATGACATACTATAGACAGGTAGAACAAAATAGATTAATTAATTCAATCAATCAATCAAATATTATTTAGGTGTCTACTGGCAAAACTATTTTCAGAATGCAACAAAAAATAGGATAAAAAAGGTGGGTCATTTGGATTTGCAAGAGAATATGTAATTGAACCTGGTGGAAAAAATTCAGCACACAGCAAACAAGAAGTTAAGGACAGCATATTATTTATCTGATTTCTTCACAAAATTGTGTAGGTCATGAACCAAAAAATTTGCATTTATTTCCTAGAATTTGTTAAACTGCATTGTTTTCAATAAAGTTAATTTAAGTTAGTTTTTTATGTTGAGGAGAGGAGACAAGCATGTTTGGCGAGTTCAAGTTTACATATAATTGATATGAACGTTGGATCATAAAATAGTTCACCAAAATATAAGTAACCCTAACCCGGGTACACAGCGCAGAAGGGCTATATAAAAAGGATGACTTCAGCGATGTGTATGATGCACCTCAGAACATATTTTGTCAATTTATCATGCATAATTCATTGTTGTTTTAAAAGAGTGGTAAAAGAGGGTAACTGACCAATTAAGTCGGATCTAGCTAGAAATTTGACAGCTTCTGGTCTAGACAGCTCTGTGTATGTCTTCCACATTCTAGATGTTCTCAATCCTGGTTCTGACCTCTAGATTCCTCTCTCCGGGTTTGGGTTTCCTATGGGACACACAAGGCAGCGAGAGCAGGGTAGTAATTCCTCGTAGAGAAAGTAAGTTTATCCTAACTTTGATATAAATTAATGTCACATTAAACGTTATAATGCGGATAGATTTAGATTTTTTAAAATGTTTATGTCAGAAGTTTGGGGCCTATAGGATAGGCATAATTTAGGCACGCGGCGTGGAAAAACAGCTCACATGCACAATGATCCGCTATTGCCATCATTTCGATTTCAACATGCCCTGAAGTGAGACTGTCTAGGCTACAATTCTACAATTCTATAGCCTAAATAACACAGTCAATTATTTATCATTATGTTATGTTTTGGTTAATTATTCGTTTAAAATGTTTGTATATGTGCGAGGTCAACGGGCTCCTCCTACACAGCAAAGTTCAATGTGAAACCACCTCTTTGACTGACATGTATAACACATTTATTTTCTAATGAAAAAAACATTACAATTACGCAAAATAAATATCAACCATTCGTTGCTTATATATTAGACACATTTACATTGTGAGAAAGTCGACCATTTCCAATGACTGTTTTAGGTCATCATCACTCAAATAGGCTATCAATAACTTGATTCACCCCGCACAAATGCTATAGGCACATCGATGGGCGGCTGTCGGTAGTCAGTTGGTATAATAAGGTTATTATTCTAAAGACAATTGAGAGTGATTTAGGCTATATGGCAGATTTGTTCATCGTCTGTATTTGAACTATAGGGATTTCATGAAATAGTGATTCCTATTTGGCCTAGGCCTATACAATTCTCATGTTTCACCACTTATACGCTCAGGATAATGCGCATATTCATTTGTAGAAGAACATTTATTCCCTTGTGTCCAGGCTGAAATGAATACCATAGGCCTACACCAGGGAATAGGCTACATGTTCTAGTTATAGTTGGCCATTTTAATGTAAAAAAAAGAATCGAAAATCTACTTCTTTATGTGAGGACTTGGAAATGCAGCTGTGGAGAGGTTTTGCCATTGCATTTTGAAAGTTGTCAGCAGCTACTCTGTCTTTCTATGGACTGCATCAGTGACTTTGTAAGAATCCCATTGCTTTTAATTTAACCCATTCAGCAGCTTGCTTCCCCTCGCTCTTTTCTCAGTCCTTTCCCAGCTTTCATTTCCACATCAAACAGAGGCCGGACGAGGCTGGGTGGGGAACAGGAGCACTATTAACGGTGCTAGCGGAGTGTGTAAAAATCTCCCCGCCAAGCTTCACCAACCTGCAGGATATTAAAGCCGAGCAACCCCAAGGGAATAAACACACGCATATACACACGCGCGCGCACACTCTCTGTTCTCTCTTTTCTGTCACACATACACACACACAAATCACTCATACTGACTTTTTTATTCTAATTGCACAATTATAAGCCTATATGGTCTCCATATATGCGCCATTTATAAATATGCCATAACTTCTTCTATAGGTTGTGTCCCTTGAAATAATTAATCTTTATGGTTTTCCCCATCGAAATGGATTCGAATTTATAATCCTCTGTAAAATGTATTATTTTATTGGTTCTAGACCTCAAATGTGTCACTGTCAACGGCTACCACCCGGTAACTAACTCTACCGTGCATTTTAGAGGCTACATAGTCATGGAACACTGGTCACTTTAAATAATGTTTACATACTGTTTTACCCACTTCATATGTATATACTGTATTCTAGTTCATCCTTTTACATTTTTAGTTATTTAGCAGACGCTCTTATCCAAAGCGACTCACAGTAGTGAGTTCATACATTGTCATACATTTTTCGTATTGGTCCCCCGTGGGAATCGAAGCCACAACCCTGGCATTGTAAGCGCCATGCTCTACCAACTGAGACAACTGTACATACACTTTTCTTCAGATACTACATATTCTATCCATATACTGTCCATATTATAATAAGCATTTCGCTACACCCGCAATAACATCTGCTAAGTATGTGTATACGACCAATACAATTTGATTTTTGATTTGATTTGATTTGAATTATGCGGGAAATAAGCCTAATGTTATAGGCCTACTATAGGCCTACCGTTTTCGATGCATATTTACGAGAACATAATCTACAATGTAACATAAGGAGCCGTCAAAAAATGCCTGAGGAAATATCTGCCATAAATTGCTTTTTTTTGCTTATATTAAATAGAACATACACGAAATATTGAAGAACCTCTTACTTTCATGAAAACCATGTTGGTTCCATAAGAACTTCAATAATGCACAATTTCTGTTACACTGTTTTGTTCCTATACCCTTTCGTTTTGTAAGTTATATCCCAATAACTCACCATTAGGTTATGGAATCAATGTGTGGCCAAACTGGCCAAGATTAGCCTTACCCATTATTTAGTCTAAATTCAAAATAACATCGTTTGTCTGTGGTTTGTCCAACATTGTTTGATTTGCATCACAATTACTGATAACACAAGAAATTAAGACTATGTTTAACATAAGCAGGTGTTTGCTCCTATGCTCACAGGCCATAAGCTACAATTATTTATCAACCACTAATTTAGAGATCGAGCCTACATTTGACAACTTGGTTGACTATCCAATACTCCTAACAATTTTAAACAATATTTATTTATGTCACCTTTTTATGTCACGTAATTTGATTAGATCCATGACCCAAAAACCTTTGAGGTGCAATGCGGCACTATAACTTCTGAACGGTGATTGTAACCCCTGACAGAGGGTGCTATGATAACATGAAAGAAGATGGCTCGTCTGAAGCGACAAGAGGGTGTCATAATTTATGCCTCGGGGTAGACCGGGTGAAACGTAAACAAGCCATACCATTCAGCTCCCCACGGTTCCATCATTAACGCGATTGAAGTGACAATGACCACGGATTGGCCCAAATCTATATCTGACAGCTAAACTAACGTCCAATTAACTTCCCAACCTCTCCACGAGAGAAGGAAAATCTATTAGTTCACCCCGGATTTCTGTATAATAAACACATACCCGAATTATAACACCAGGCTCAACGTTCAGAATTGTTGGTCAATCATTGATAGTTTGCTTTCGTATAGGCCTAATGTTACATTCATTAATGGACATAACTTTTACAAAAATCACCCTGAAATTAAGGAAAATAAATCTAAAAACAATGTAAGCCTATAAGGACAGGTGAACATTAAGTTATTCAATTAGTGATCATTATGGCTTTCATTGATTGAGGTTATTGGCCTTCCTATCTCTACTCTGATGCATAGAGACCAATTACTGCATAAACAGCCATGGGCTACTTCTAGAAACCATGCTAATGTCTTCTGTAAAAGATATTCCAACAAAACAGTCTGTTTCTGTTCATAAAGTTGAATAACAATATGAATAATGTCAATTTATTAAAATGAAACAACAAACAATATTTAAATGTTCCCTAATTCAAAGCAGCCGTAAGCCAACATTTCGTTGGTGCACAAATCCAGTTTATTATCAGCCTAAATCACCCAATTACTTGAAAGCAGTTCGTTTTCATGCCATTAGAATTCCCGATGAATAATGTTAGGTATTCCGTTGTCAACACCTATATGAGCATAAACTTTTGGCATGACAAAAATATTTTGTCATGCCTCTATTGCATTATATTTTGCTTGCTTTGACAATTACATATTTCATATTTATGAATGATTTCGGCTTTTTAAAGAAAAATTTCCAACAAATATCAAACGGGTTATTTAGGCTAGCCTATAGCCTATTTGAGTGATGCATGCGTTTATCTTCTCTTTACCGGACAAAATACTATATACAGCAAAACGAGGGAAGGGGGTCTCAGATCTTGTGTTTTACCTCGTCCGGTGATGTTGGACATATCTCTGAGGTCTTGGTCGTTGGGTGTCCTTGCCAAATGTAAGAGGGTCCACGCGCTCTCTCTCTCCCAGTTAATTAGATGTTTTTAGTCCATGTGGGGCCTCGCTTGGCATGAATGTGTTCCTGAGTGCACTCTTAAATGCGCTGCAAGAGGACATTGTAATAGTTAATATGGGTTTCTTATGAATACCGTGTGGTGATGTTGTGTTTCTTTAGTGTGCCTATATTATTGTCCGCGTTGCAGTTTTAAGTTGAGTCTTCCGTCCCTGTTCGCCCTCTTATTTTTCAAAAAAAGTATATAGGTCTGTAACATAACAAAACAAAAAACACTTTTCACTGTTTATCGTAGCCTATACTCCGTAGTAGGGTAGCCTTGGATCTTTGTTGGGACAACTCTCTCACACTACTCAGCGAATCTAACCGGACTCAATAGACTAACAAACGATCAGCCAATACACTGCTCATTGTTAAGCTACACATCTACAACCATTTGTTAAATATTTTAACAACCATTCACATTTGCTAACACATTGATGTATCACTTGAATAGCCTTTTGAACATTGCTTTTACAATCAAAAGCACATCATTGGTGCAAAGAATTACCTTCGCCTTGCAGAAAAAAATGTCCGGCCAGATATCCTTATATTATTATCCAATGCTAGACCACACTGGAGAAAATGTAACCTCGGCGGGGGAGATCCAAGTCAATCGTTGATAAAGCGTCTGTTATGATGCTCTCTCAACAGTCAGAGGTGGTGTAACTGTTTAGGACCTGCTACTAATTCTGTGCGAGGTTTTATCCAACAGATGCTCTCCGAGGCGCGCAGTGGAGACGGTGCGCCGCGGCCATTGGATGATGGAGTCGAGGGGGGTGCAGTAGAACGAAGGATGAGGTGTGGCTATTTGAAAAGAGGGTGTCACCCTTCCCAAAGCCACATGGATGACTGATTTTGTGGTTTGAGTGGCATTCCACCCAACACAACACACTGACTGAGCAAAACAGCAACGTTTACGGAAACACTCGTCAAGGAGCGGGTTTGTTTTCATTCACCCCCAGCGACAGCTTCGCTTTGATTAGATTGTGTACAAGATGTGACACGATTTCCG